TTCGACCATTGCGACGGGGAATCTTCGGAGGGGTTCCAGAGGTGCTCTACGCATCTTTTAGGGAGACTTGGATGGAAGCCATGACCAAGTTACCACGAGCTCATGGTCACATGGTAACTAGCAGTTGAGGCCACTTTACTACCGTCCCTGATTTGCTTCTTATGATAAACCTCGGAAAATGAAGTTGAAAGGTCAATAATGAGAGTCAAGTCAGACTATACACTTACTTTTCAATGGTTAACCTCCAAAAATATTATTGCCTAATAAATCCTACCGTTAATTCCCCTACTTTTTTTGTAACAATCTGAACTTTTTACGGTACTGAGAAATTTTAAGGTTGTGTTTCTCGCTGTTCGATCGTACTTCGTTCTATGCTTGGTGGCTCGACAGTCTGTTCTCATCGATGGTGAACCGCCCAAAGACAGCAGTTTTGTAAGTTTATAATCGCTTGATGTAGGTATGGCCCGCGTCTATGAACTATTAGTTGAACTGAAAGAGCTGTAACAAACTAAACAGATGCACAGATTGACTGCTAAGGGCTATGGTTTGACTGTTGTACTGATCTTTTCCATTTCAGGTCTTCCCTATCATTCCTCTCATAATGACGGCGCTGCAATTCGTTTTCTACGTCGGGTGGATGAAGGTTTGTGAACCTTAATTTCATGTAGAACTATGGATTCCGTGATTTAGAGTACAGGATTTTAGTTTCTTAAAGTGTTGTAGATGAGATATTTCTCCATAACGGTGACGTTTGATAGTAGACGCACTATTAGTTGAAAATCGTCTAAAGGGAGCGATTACGATAGATTCAAGAAGGTTAGAGGAGACGTGGTGGTGCTCAATGGTACGCCAGTGGCGAAAAAGCGGAGAAATCCGTCAAGAAAACGCAAAATGGGACCCCTTTTTTGGCCGTTGGTTTTCACTCATGAACAGGTAACAGCTCAGAAAGCGGACGTATGAACGAGTTCAGCGCAACGCGTTTGGTGACACCATGCCAAACCACACTCCAGTCGAGTTGCTCCAGTTGTGCCGCTGCTGGCAACGCAGCTCGTCCAAATCACCAAGTAAACTAGTGGGCGGATCGCTTTGGGGGCGGAGTGCTTTCGAAGTCCTGCTCAGCAACCAGCGAACCTTCCGTCGTGGACGCGCTAGGCTCCGCTTCTGAGGAAGGCCAATGTAAGGATTGTGTCAGAGTCTGCGATCCCGTCGCGCCGTATATTGCGAGTGATCACAGAACTCATAGGTGCGTCGAGGCAATACTGAAGGTTGCTCTTAATACACCGCCGAGCCATTTCTGCTTGATGAATGAAATGGTTGAATGATGGCTGTTCATGGATTCCTACTTGTTTTCCTATTACAGCTGTTGCTGTTGAAAAGGGGCACTTGCAATTCTTCCATTCGCGCGTGAACAGCGACGGATCGCGGACATCACGAGAGACATCAGCCCAACTAATAGTATGCCGTACAATAGGACCTCCCGAATCCTGCCCCACTTTTAACAGTGCATCCCGCATTTTAAGTCTAACTTCACAGCGCTTTTCAGACGCTTTTAGGACCGGTTCACACCCCTAAGGGCGTATTTACGCACTAGGACGTAGCTGACTGTGTATTTCTTAAGCTTCTCTGGTGTAAGAGTCTTCTTCCAGATGCTGCTCAGAATCGTATTAATTGCTCGCAGCTTCTCCTTCTTTCATTGCGTGCTGTGACGGCCATCCATGAGCGAAACTGGGAGATTGGGAAAAGGCGTTCGTAACGCAACGCTTATGCCGCGGATCGCAAATCGCCGCTGTATCATGAAAGTGTTCCTTCGCAAAATCGTTCTCTGGGCTGGACGAACAGGAAAGAGCTGAATTCAATATAACCCGACGGGACTACTCATAAATGGCAATGGTTAGTAGGGTTCGCCAGCTAATGTGAGAAGTTTGAGCGAATACCCTTCGTAAATTATTTTTAACGCCTCCCAGTGATGTCTCTGCCACTACCTAAACATCTATGCCTCAGTCTGTTAGCAGAAATCGGACCTGTTAGTCGAATAGTTCAATTTTCATGGGAAAGCTTATGGAGTTTGTATGGTGTTTGAGATGTTGACCATACGGGTGACCATAGCTCACGTTGACGCGGGTGGAGCCAAAATCCAGGATAAGAGAAACAGGAGGAAAAAAATTTCATATTTGCGCCGAGCCAACCGCTCAGACTTCGGCAGGGCTTTAACCTTCGAGTGGGTTCTAATTTATTTCCACCAAGAGTGAAATGTGCACTCGGCTTCGTCCTACTTTTCTACTTTCCGCAGCAAACGCCTTGCTAAGGAAGATTATGAGCTCCTGGCAGTAAAAAGGCTGGAGGGTAAAATTACAATAGTTTGCGTGTGCGTAAGCGTCTTTTGTTAGCACGTCTCTCCCACCTTACCCGAGATCAGAAGAGTCTATCAAAACTGAGACTTGGTCAGTCTTCGCATAATCATAGGGAAATCCAATTGATGTGCCTTGGAGCCAAATGCGACATTCTAAAACTTCATATAATTTAGTCTTATTGAAAATTTCTCCTAAAATCGTAAAAAAAAACAGAAATTATGAAACCTTCCAATAATTGGGATGTTAAAAATGTTTTGAATTGTTATAAAGAATGAAAAACAAAAAAAGAAATTGTGATGGTGGCACCCACCACGCGATGGCAAGGTTTGGGTGTCATTGTCTTTGCTAGATTAAATAAATAAACAGAAATGAAAATGGTGCTGGTCAAACGCGCATATGATCGCTCGAAAGTCCTGAGCCACCCATGGACGCGCGTAAGATGTTAGTTTTCTAAAATATTGCTCCACTTAGCAATCCTGCCACCTGAGAGAGGTTGACGTCATTACCGTCGAAGTCCTTTTTCATCAAGCGTTGCTCTCATTTCACGCTCGCCGTTCAGGTAGCGGAAAGCCTTATGAATCCACTGGGTGAGGACGATGACGATTTTGAATGCAATTACCTCCTGGACAGGAATCTTAGTGTAAGTATGGAACGCCCTCCGGAGTTTCACTGAAAATTGCTCAACTAAAAAAGGATTTCAGCTTTGGTCTCTCCATCGTTGACGAATGCTACAACGACTTGCCTCTTCAGCAAAAAGACATATTCTGGAGGCCGGCTGGTGAGATAAGGCGCTTCGAGTGGATAGCAAGTAGATTACGCGCTGGCTGAGGCGTCGCTTCTGGAGCGTCGGCGATCAGTGATAGAGTTCACTATGAGACAATAGGAATTTAATGGGAGAATAAGGTTGAGACCCCTCCGGTATGTGAACTACCCTTTGGATAGGAATGTAGTGTGATCATTTGAAAATATGAAGCGACCCTCTACTAAACGCCCCTTGAATTTTACCTGAATGTTGAGGCACCATTAACCCAATATTTTATGGAGTTCGCTGCCGCAATCTGTAGTCCGGCATGAAAACGATTCTATGATCCTGTCTTTGTCCTCGTCATTCCAAAGGTTCAACAACTGATTAGTCTTGAAAGAAGTGCAGGCAAGAACAAAACGCTCAGATGCGGCACCGTTTTCGCGGGACGTTCTCTGGCTTCTGAGGGTTTCGGTTTGATTCTTTCGGCTACACGAAAGTGTCGCGCATAAAGAAGGTGTAAAATAAAGGTCATAGAAGGGAAGCCCTCTGCGCATCAGCAAACCCCATTCCATGGCCTTCGGATGCACAGCTTTTTTTTTAAAAGAACCATGCTCAGGGCACTAACAGGGAATTCATTTTCTTCTTTCAGAAACCATCGAGCCGTTGTACTCTGCAGACACAGCTATAAAACCAATTTATCCTCAGTTGGCTCCTACGAGTAAGTCAGCAGTCCTATTCAATGAATGCTCGTTTATTTCCTGTCATCAGACCTCTTGTCTCTTCTCTCTCTCTTTCTCTTATGCTTGACTGCCTTCTTCACTATTGTCTTTGTTCATTTCCTTTCCATTTTTCTTCTCATTGCTCCAATGTTTCCATGTTTGCGTAATTTGATCCTGCATCTCTCTCATTAATCATGAATCAGCACTTGCAGACCTCGAGAGGACGAGGTGATCATGATGCCGCGTGTCGATGCCGATGAAATGGACAACATGTCGTTTGATGACCAAGAAGCGCGACTACTGCCTCGAGGTACCCTTTGATATCTAAAATAAAATAAGAAATAATAAAAAATGGGGGACACAAGTGATAATAAAAAATGGGGCGTTCCAGTCTCCTGAAGAGAATGGGGATCGCCTAGGTTTAGCGAAGTAATGGTAGAGAAATAAAAACACAGTAAACTAAGAGGGAGAGTTAAAGTGAACGGCGTCAGGAGAGCCGGTCAAGGCACGTGATGCACTTGCAGAGAACAAACCAAGAAGCCACTCCTGAACAAAAAGGATTACTCATTAGCCCCTGGTATGGAATTGGGGCAGCTTTGCCAAAGGGGTATAGGGAGAGTGAAGATTGATGGGGGACCTTGAATTCGTTGCAAGTTATGCAGTATGTATGTAGTTGGAATACACAACCACACAAAAAGACTACAGAAATTTTTTTCTAGAAACTCGTGATTACCACTCGAAATCCGGAATTTCCCTCATGGGTAGTTCATGTATATGACGTACATATAAAGTAGCGGTCAAAAGTGTTCGCCGAAACGGTTTTCGTGCTTCTCTTTTTTTTTGCCAGAAAAAAATCAATGGTGACCTCGAAATTTTTCTTTTGAATATCCTGATTCTTTAAGACTTGAGGATATAAAAACACTAGAAAACATAGTATATCAATCTTTGGAGGGCGTTGCTCAAGCGAGAAAAATAATGCACTAAAATCGTTTCGGCGAACACTTTTGACCGCTACTGTACATATGACGTCAGAGGACGGAATGTATTTGAGATTGAGGCCGTTCAAATGATGTTAGAATGACAGAAGACTATTATAAATCTTCACGATCCACTATGTATATTCGAGAGAAAAATTAAGGTGTTTCTGTGGTGTCCGTGAATCGACATGGCGGTAGCCGGACAAGTTTGTCTAGCGCGAAAGGTATACTTGGAAGCATTCGCAAACAATTCAGCAGGTATGTCACTGTTTTCCTCATCAACTTGATATCTCTTCATTCAATTACACAAAGGCCATACGAACTGGCTTAGCATGCCGTCTGATTGAGGCAGTTTTGTAGAAGAAAATCGATTAGTTGCATGTGAAAGCTCAGCTGTGCGATGGAAAATTCCGTAATCTTGTCCTGTCAAATTTCTACAAGAACATTTTGAGGTCGCTATTGGGGGTTTTGATTCGTAGTTTGGAAGAAAGTTTGTGCATGTCCTCGTAGTGAGCACGCGCGGCTTCGAGCTTTCATTTTCCAGCTATTGGAGACTTGAAGGCTTACTCTGCTAGGGTAGGTTCCGACGTATCACTTATAACCACCAAGCGAAAGAGAGAACTTTGAGGATTCAAAACTCGTGGCAAGTGCACTAAGTGTTCAGGGTTAATGTACGCCCACTGTAGAGATTACTGGGTCTCGTCTTTATGCAATTCCCTCCCGTATCCCCTGTTCGCGCTGAGTATATCGCTGTCTAGCGCCTACAAGGAAAGGTAAAGAGGTCATCCCGGCTCAATGAAATAAGGGGTACCGTTGCAGTCCTAACTGCTTTTCATATTCGCCAGCTGATTATCTGAACGGAGTTGTAAAGCGGAAAAGCGAAGCTGTAGTAGCAGGAGGCTCGCTGGATTGCAGAATTGACCAATTGATCTTTTGCTCTTGTAAGCTACATAGCTATGAAGACTTTCGACATCATTACTCCATGAACGTTCAGCTTAGGACGTCTGCATGAAGTGCAGTCAAGCTCATTCTCTCATGCAGACAATGCTTGCAATAAACTTCAATAACTCCGTTCAGGGAATCGCTTGACAGAAATGGAAACCACTTCTGAGCTGATCTCAAAGCGAAAGCTAACCAGATTTACCTCTTATCAATTAGCCAGGTTGTCCTGCTGAGCTCTTGTTAGGCTCAGCCTATGCAGAAAAGAGCCCTCATTTGCAGATTTTTTTGGCGATTTCCTTTCCTTTCGCTTCTCTGATGAATCAAAAAGCATCCACCGCTTTATATTATTTGAGCCCATAACCCCACTTCCCCTACCGCGGAGTTTGCCTTCAAATACGAAAACAATTATGTACAATCGGCAGCAAAGGGTAATGAACTAATGTTACCACTGAAACACCCTCAAAGAGAAGGAGTTCGATTTTTGTTTGATATTTGATTAAATCAAATCATGTCTACTAAAGAGATGGACGTAAGATGTCACGACCGAACCGTCTGGACATTTCGCAAATGTCGCTGAACAACGATATGAAGCACACTATCGATCTGGTCGGTGAGAGCTCCCTGGACATCTTGGGCGACTTGGCAGACGAAGCCGCTCGGAATTCAGTCCTTCTTACTCCAAACAATGGTGGGTATTCAATTTTCCTTCATTCCTTCATTATTCTTCGAGCTCTAATCGGACCACATCAGTAAAGATGAAGGTGTTAATGATGTACATGTAGTAGCTGCGGCCAGGGTCAGCGGTTCGTTGGTGATTTAGAGACGCAGGGAGGGGGGAGGAAGGAATTTCGGACGGCGCTGTGGTAGGGCTCCGGTTCACGCTACTTATCAACAAAGGAGTTAATATTTGCGGCTTCTAGAAGGAGAGGGGGATTTGGGGTTGAGCTAGGTTACTCATTTTTTGATGGTTCCTTTTATGATTCCTGCGACCATGCAAGTAGCTGGAAAAAGGCTAAAGGGTTTAAATTGGAGTTTTTGCTGCTAGTAGACATTTCCTCATCCCCTCCCCCACTCGCTTACGGTCGTCTTTGAGGGAGAAGTTGGCGCAGTCAACAGGTAAGTGGTCGGAGTGGGAAAAGGTGGTTGTATTAAGGGGAGCCTCTTAAGGCTAACGTTGGTTGGGAGGGAGGGGTTGCCGCGAAGGACCAGTTAACAAGGGGGGGGGAGGGGATAAAGGATAAAAAGCATTTGCCGTTGATCAATCCCTTTTTGGGATGCGGCACGCATTCTACTTCCATTTGTACATTCGTAGTGGCGTTTGAATGCGATGTGGCCTATACAATGACTTGCGGGGGCCAGCCGATGTACAAGTCAGTGTTTTTATCCTCCCAGACAAGTCTGGTACCAATTAACCGACCCCGGAGGGATGGAAGGCTTGGTTGGCCCGGGCGACCAATAAATTCCGGGAAAAAGCGAGCGCGACAGTTGACCATGGGCTGTGGTGAGAAACGTTTAGGAGCCGTGTTGTAGTAGAGTGGGAGGGAGTGCGGTATTTTTGGGTGACCCTCTTCAAATGTGATGGTGGGGTTCCTAGAACGCTGAAATTTTGCCCAAGTTCACGGTGGTCCTTGCCTGAAGCGTACCTTGTTTATACAATATGAAGTAATATTGCTGGTTGCTATGCTTCCGGATCGTCACAGCAGTGAATGTGTTCATGGCATCAAGTGTTCATGACATCAATTTCAGATCTCTCGCCTACGTCACCTTCGCGGCGATCGCCTGTGAATGAGGCCTTGACCAGCGTGCCAGAAGAGGATGAGGAAAGCCAAAGAACGCGGAACAGTGTGGATTTGCGACGGTGGAAAGAAGAGGCCAGGGCACATATGCAAAAACGGGAAGACAGTGAGGACAGATGCCCTTAGGGTCTACCACAACGTTTAGGGTTGATGCATATGATTGATATGAAATGATTTCTTTTCCACTTCTGAATACCTTAATATTATGTCACTTTTGATCTGATTAGTGCTGAGCCGCTTCTTCTGCTCGAATCTGCAATTCACTTATGAGATATAACTCATATCATTCTGAAATGAGGCTACAAGGCTCTGGAAGAGGTATGGGGTGCATCACTGAAGATGCATGGCGGTAAAGGACGGAGCAAGAGAAGGAAAGCACCCGCGTCCCTTAATCGCTTTTTGATGCGCCACGCATTCTGCTTCCATTCAGAATCTTATCGGCAATTTTAACGCGAATTGACCTATCCAATGATTTGCGAGGGTCGGCCCGTGTAAAATTCAGCGTGTTCATCCTAGCAGGCAACTCATGTCCAAATAATCGATCTGGAGGGATGGAACGCTGATGGCGTGCTACACCAGATTTGGCTCCTCGCGCGTGGTAAACCATTTGCCACCATATACCACTTCCGTCAGCTGCAAGGGTTTGCTGCATATTCACTGCTCGAACTCTCCTAAGCCGAATGTTCAGCGTTTTTTCTTGTAAGAGGTCCGCCAATGGTCCTGAGGCTTTTTCTAGTGTTCTCAATGTTCTTTACGGTGCATCTATTGAGCACGGTGCAACTCCTTGAGCGGGAAGTTCGGATAAGGAAGAAACGCACATCCGTCTAAGGCGTTGTGATCAGAAACCTGGAACAATCGATAAACCAAATTAAACGAAAGGTTCCCTCCAGATGGAGAGAAAGTTTGTCGAATGGAAGAAAGAAAGAAGTCGGTTTCGCCTGAGCGACGTAGGCCAAAGAATTCCTGCATTCGCTGGGATTTCTTTGGTACTCCCACTGCAAAAAATTATTCCATATTTGTGGAATGCATGTTGGATTTCCGCTTCGGTTACACAAGGATGAAAAATTTGCTATGTAGCGTTTAACCTCGGTGGCCTTAGAACCTAATATATTTCCGAAAGCCTTCGGGGCTTGCTGCACTACGGCCCCTGAGGTACAGCTGTATTTGTACATGGAAGGAAGTGGTCCATCCTACTCCGTTTCCTATTTTTCAAATGATAGATTTTTGAGTTGTTTCAATTTTGAATGATCCTAAAATTCAAGCCACTACGAGATTCAAAACTCCTCCAGAGCCCTAATAGGGAACCTCACAGTAAGCAGCAAGCAGACCTCTTGGGAGAAAAGGGCAGAAGCAGAGGCTCACGTGTGCTCATATCTCATAAGAATACTCATACAAGTTTATTTTGACAGTTTTGAATTACGATTAGGATTACGTTTTGATTCTTGGCTTTAATTTGTTACATGAATTGGAAGCTGAAAATTATTGCTTCATTGGTTATGATTTATTATACTCTGGTGTATGTTTGTATGTATGTATAATTGAAGATTACAACGAAGTATAATATGTGATGTTGATAAACGTTAGTAGCGCTACTAAACATGCATTAACCTGTAGTTTTAGCATGGATAATGTTCTGATTGGGTTAGGCTACTTGGCAAATATTTTGCTTGGTTTTATAAGAATCTATTCTTGAAAATTCGTTGTCTTGTTTTGCCCGTAATTCAGTGGCTTGGGGCCCATCGTCACTGTAAACCAAATGTTCAAAAATGCAGCTTGTTCCCGCCGGACATCTGTCACAAGTGCTGACCCGGGAACGCTTTCACTGGGTGCACGGAGGCTGTCACTAGAAACTTTTTAGCCATTTGACTTATTGCACTGAAATCTACCACCTCTACTGCATCACACTCCATATATTTCCCGACCTATTCTCCAAAATCGCACGCTTTAACCCGATTCTTTCATTGCGTCGCCTGATACGTAGCCGCCCCAAGGCGGACTTCTTTCCATGCCCCGCCTTTGGCTCCGCGCCTTTTACCTTCGATTGTCCATAGAGTGTAGTTTTTGTAAGTTTGTTTCTCTTCGGAAACTGAATCTTTGTGCGTGAAACTTTGTATGTTGTCTCTAGTGATCACAACTGACATATGCGTGTTGGGAAATGCAAGATTTTTTTTCCGGGAAGGAACCTCTCTTCAATGGTATGTATCCACGCAGATGAGCATACTTTGTGCAGCGCTTGTGAAAGTAGGATCAGTGCTGTGTGAAACAAGTTCTACAGAATTTTCTCTGTGTTCAGTGATACATCAGTTTTACCTGAACGCGAATGTTATCGAGCCGGGGGGCATTTGGAGTGCCCCTCCCCGCTAACGCGGCAGAAAGAGGTTTGTCCTGCTTTTTGCGATAAATTACCTCTTGTTGAACATGGCACGAGATGAGTGCCAAGTTGACTGCACAACAAGGCTCCCAGATCAGAGTGATTTCGACGAGAACGGCAAAAGATGTGGGTCAAGAGATCCCGATTGCGCTTGCACACCGAAATTAGGTCTCCCCGTGCAACAGCTCAGTAACTCATCGCTGATGCCACCTGTAGTGACCACCTTCAATGGTTAAGAAAGATGACCGAAGCTGAGTGAAACCTGTAACTTGAAACTTATTGTGAATTGCTATACTGTGCGGGAGTAGTGTAGCGGCAAGAGGCGCCACTTGCCACTTACAGGGTTCGAGATCGAATCTTAAATTCGTATGCCGTCCAAACATGCCAAACCTTGCACCACTCCTGGGCTATTCAATTTGTAGCTAACCTGCCGCAGTGGCACATAAACTTTCACGTTAGCTCCGGCTCCTCTCGAGACACCTTTGGGCCCCCCCAAACAGTCCTGGAATTCCTTTCAGAGCCACTACGATTAAGAGGAGATAGAAGGCGTAGGGCATTCCAAAACGGGAGTGAACAACGCCGAATGTTTCACTTGTTTATTATAGCACTGGCTTGGATGAGATCAGATGCCCTACTCTTTTCTAATTCTTTTCTTTTCATTTCTTTCTCTTTTCCTCTTTCATTTTCTAATCTCATCCACGCCACATAGTCCTCAAAAATCGTGTTGACGACCGCCGTTGTGGGCACACTGACTTATCTTTTTTATAACGGTTTATCGATTGTTACTGCTGTACCTATAATTTCAGTATTCCCAATGAGTGTTCTATTTTGTATTCGATGATGCGTGAAACTTTGGATCATGAAAATGAAGGCACCCATTGAGCAAAACAAGGCTGCCCGTGTGAAAGTGCGAGATATATGCGTCCCGCACGGTCGTCAGTGTGTTGCCGGGATCGAATTAGTGTGGTTTTGCCCAAGAATGTGCTCATGGCTGCGAATAGTTCAGGCAGTTAAGAAAAAGGAAAGAATCTGTAGAAAATGCTCAGGTTAAGGGCTTGCTCACTCGTAATGCGGCTGTGCTAAGGCAATGAGAGACTGAGCGCGGAGAGGAGAGTATGAGGCGAGAGAGCGCAACAGATGAGAGGGCGCCAGACAACAGCTGCTGCAAAATGGGAAATTGCAGCTGCTGCAGCTAACTTTGCAAGGCCCTAGCGCCCTTGTTGGACGATTTCCATGCACGGGAGTGCCACATCTGTGATTATCCGCTCTGGCTTTATACTACAGACCGAAGGGAATCGTTCATACTACCTCTGTATGGGTTGTGCCTTGAATGAAGTGGGAGAATGATGAATTGATCGAAACTACAAGTTATTATATAGCAAACTTTATCGGAACTCTCGCATGTACAAGTGATATTCAGAGAATCTGTTATATGTACAAGGATAAATGCGAGCAGAACGTCATCACTGGTCATTGCAAAATTGGAAACTTGAAAACAAGCACTGTCAAATCAAAAACAAAAAAAAAGATTGGACGATAACACAATCAAAAATGAGAACTGAGACCCATGTTGAGTGTGTGCGTTAGGTGATTAAGGGGACAAATTAGAGCAATTAGCACGTAGATATCATCAAAGAGGCTAAGGGGTAACGACTAACTGAACTCTATCTACTGACATAAGGCTATGATTTAAGCTACATTAAAGCAGTGGACAAATCATATTACAAGTATTACTTAGTGTCATTATCTTAGATATGGTTAGGAGAAAATATGTGGAAATCTACAAATTTGGAAACTATGGAGCAAAAAGGCAAAATTAGGGAAGTCTATGGCGACGAACGGTGAGGCGAACGGTTGGATGCTGCTTGATGAGTTGTATGGCCTCTTCATGAGTGAGACCCTTCGTATCACGACCATTTATTGAAATTAATTGATCTCCGACCTGAAATACCGTAACATTTCAATTTTGACACATCTGAAAATTAATATTTGGAAACATTGCTGACAAGAAACACTTATGATGAAGGCAATCACAAGATTTAACAAGGCCTTACCCTCAATCGGCCATCATTGGCTGCTGGACCGTCTTCAGCGATTCGCAGAACAAACAAAGGCATGGCACCAAATTCTTGTCCACCACGAATCGAGAAACCGAATCCACGAGCACCACGTTCAAGTTCCACCGAGATTATCGGACTGTCCTGTAGGAATTCCTTTAGCACAAAGGTGATGTTTTCGGAAAGATGTGTTAGGAAAAATGGTATGAAAAACAACGGATTTTCACAATATTGCACATGCGGGAGCATTCCGTCAAATCAGAGAAAAAAGCCCACTTGAACAGCTGGCAACTCATGCTTTACGAGTTATATGGAGGTAAATTCTCTAGAGGAATCCTTGCTTCAGGAATATCCAATTTTCCGCAGCTCCTTGATGCTATGTACAGAAGCTGATGACAACTGTTTCTGACACTCAAGGATAACGAGAAAAGACCTTCAGAGAGCATGACCTCCTCATCCCTTTATGGAAGGAATCATAAGCAGCCCCTACTACATTCCAGAGTTCTAATACTAAAAGCCGATCTCGTGATTATAAGTTGAGGTTATTTCGCTAGAAAGGAAATGGATGAAGTTTGTCCATTAGTGAGAAAGAGAAAAGAAAGTATCGAAACCTCCGAAATCCCAGGAAACTTCTTTTAAAATCGGCCGTAAAATATGAAAAAAGAAAACACAACGCCCTTACAGAGAGAACGCGCGAGTGAGAACGGCGCCAGAGAGGGCGCAAGACACTCGACCGATGCGTAACAAACAATAAGAGCTGCAGTGAATGCCTAACTGGATCAGCTGCAGATTTCTGGAGCAGGGTCAAGCGAGGCGTTGAGGAAAATTTGGAAATACGACCCCCCCCCCCCACCACCCTCCGCCGGAGGCCGAAGTCCATGAAACAACCCTCTTCAAAAGCCGAACTATGAAAAGGTTGAAAAGCTTGTTTAATTCTCCCCCAAAACTGCTCATAAATGTGCTCATAAAAAAGCCCTGCTACCCCACCGCCCACAAAAAAATTCGTTTAAGAAGTACAAAAGTGAAAAAGTCAAAGAATAATCATTATTGATGAGTCCTACCAAACGAGCAAACGAGAAACAGACCAGAAAACGACAAACTAGCCACTAAAAATGGCATACCATGACAACATCTGTTCTTTATTTATTTCCTCCACAAGACTTACCAAATTCTAGTACTACACAGATTGTGGTTCTCAATTTGCACGTAGCCCTTCAGTTGAAAGAAGCTTTTTAACCGCCTTCGCCAGCTGTGTGTTGACTGGACTTTGGCGTTGACCGTGGAGCAGCTTATTTACTATTGAAATTTGAACAAATATTCAAATGATTATAACTTTCTTCAAAGTTAACGAAATTTTCAATCTGAAAGCTGATTTGGGAGTTTTGTGAAGAGCTTTTTCTAATCAGTACTGAAATTACAGGAAGTTATAAGAAATAACAAATTTAGATCAAATAACGAGGAAAATTCGAGACGAGCACGAGTTTTTACACTTTCCGAGCAACAACTTGCTTCATTTTCGTCAAATTCGAAAAGTTAATATGGCATACAAAACTAGAAGATTTTCTCTATCAAACATTGCTAAAGCAGCTTCTATACGTCCAGTATTCAAAAAATGGCCACGTTGAGGATTTTTGCAAAATTAACGAGGAAAATTTCGTGATGAGTGCGAGTTTTTACGCTTTCCAAAGCCATAACTCCGTTCAAACTCATCCAATCCGAAAAGTTAATACGCCATCATAAACTAGAAGATTTGCTCTATCAAATGCTTACTAGAACTGCTCCAAACGTCCAGTATTAAAAAAACGGCTACGTTGAGGATTTTCGCACGAGTACCGCCGAAAGGTACTTTTTCGCTACATTGGCACTATTTCAACGGCTGTATATCCTTTTAAGGGCGATTATGTACTAAAGTAAGAGCAGATTTGGAATCACTGCTTTTCTCTTTCTAAGAAAAGTGATTGATTAGCGTTTCTCAACTTTAAAGGTTACATGTTTATAAATTTAACCCTGAAGAGTCCGTTAACGCAATGTTGAATGGTGTACACCTCCCTGTAAATGCGCACGGACACTTTCAGAATTCTCTCGATTGTTCCTGAATTGAGGTTGTTTGTCCAAGGAGCCGTAGTTGAAGCGCGCGCAACAACTAGACCCTTTCTCGGATGCGCCGTGTACCTCACATCCCTTCAGATTCGGGGTCTTACTTGAAAGATGAAATATCTCTTGGAAAGCGTGCGAAATTCAGATTCTTTAACTTGTGTGGTGATAAAACACTGAAGTAACTAAGAATTACCGGACGCCTCAGAATCACGAAAATTTTGTGTGGGTGAAATATCATTTTCATTGGAAATCCTCTGGCCTGGCATCGACTCATCCTTGATATTTGTCTTCCGACGGTGATGATCCCACTGCATCAAAATGGCTCGATCTCTTCCACCCAGCGGGCCAATACGACCCCCCCCCCTGCGACGTGTCGAGGATTCCTCAACGCACGCTTGACCCTGCCCCTTTTGGCGCGACCTTTCGAGCTTCAGCGAACGGCGACGGATGTTCTATCCTTGGCAGACACTACTACCCCTTTTACACGGGAGACTGTTCCGATAAACCTGCCGTAATCGAGATATTACAGCAGATTTCTGGTTGGAGGAACTGAATTGTGACGCTGCTATTGGCATCGTCTTCGACGGTTACAAGTCGTTAATCTTCAGTACCATAAGAGTGGGGTTGATACTGAAGTCTCCTCGATCAGGAATTCCCTTGCACCCGTTGGCGATCCACGAGCTTGAAAGATAATCTCTCTCGCAGCGACCAACTGCCGTTATTACTCGCTTGGATATCGCAGTGTCTGCGCCCTCTCGTTCGGAGTGCTCTCTCGCACATTCCCTCTCCTCGCCGAGCTGTGTCTCTGCGTCGTACAAGTTCCAGAGAAGAACCTTCGATTCCAATATTTTCTATGATTCCTTCTGCTATTTTACTCACTGACAGTCGCCTCTCCAAGTCTTGTTTCATCTTCTGAATGGACTGGCTCACCAGTTCAGCGATCCGTGTTATATCCTCTCAGAAACATATAAGACTTTATTATTAGTTGGAAATGTTAGAGAATGTTAGCAGAAAAATTTTGGTTAGACCCTTGGAGACGTCACAACTGTTGCAGATATTGGTGTCGCAATAGCGAATGTGTTAAATAAAAGGATGAAAAATTAGTAAAAAAAGGATGAATTGAGTAAAAGCAACAACACCATTACGACATGGAAAGAATTTGAGGTGATCCCGTTCGAAGAAAGCTCTTGTCAATAACTGACAAACTGTAATCATTATTGGCCCGGAATTGATGTAATGAACAAATTATAACAAAATTAATTGAAATTAATGTGATTTTTAAGAGCAGATTGAAGTTTTTCTTTCAGTCATGCCCCAGAGTAGGAAAACCGAACGAAAATTAGTAGGGTTGTATTGCCTCCATAGAAAAATTATATTGGATAGAACTGGCACTTTCTACAAGGAGAAGGTGGGGTAAAACCTAATTAGGACTAAGGATTTTCAATTTTTTTAGGAAATTTTCGTCACAGCCTGCTAAATTTTGGTGATTTCACGGAAATTTCGGAACATTTCCTGTTCTGATTGTTAGCATACAATTTTAGCTATTCCAAATATTGGGACGAACTGCAAGAAGAATTTTAAGTAATATATGATCCAAACTTTTTCATCTTATTTGCTTATTTAGAAAAGGTCAGTTAAAATTCTTGAATACGTTTCAAACCCAAATTATTTCCCAAAGGAAGATTTCATGTGTTTGGTTAGAGTGATACTGCGACAGAGGTGCCAAACAGGACTAGAACGAGGTTTGACAGAAGCGGAGGGAGGAACACCGGTGATTTTGAGTGGTAACGAGCTGGGCATGGACGAAGACGATTGACGGTGCCCTATCCTCACCGGCGAGAAGGAGACGACGGCGATGTCAGAAGTGGAGAATCAGAGGGAGTTAGCGATTCGATGGCCTCCATGTCCGCTGATTCGCTGTACGTGTCGAAGACGCCCGATTCTTGCAGAGCCATTAGGAGGCTCTCACAACTTGGTTGCTAGAGAAA